GGTATCTCAATTCCAGTCATTTTCTCATCCTCTGTCCTTGTTCTTTGTCTTTTCTGCAAATATTTTGATGGCAATTGTTCTAATGAGTGTTCCTCCTTCGTGCTTTGACTGCGTGAATTTAAGCGTGCTACTTGATTGGCAACTAGGTCTCAACGTTATAATGTTGAATTAGCTAGATGCAATCGTCTGTTCTGCTTTAATAGTTTCTTTTCTCGCACTTTTTGCCAATGGAGCTCCCTTCTGATTTTTTTACTTCCCTGCCACCTGATAATTTAAATGCAACGCCATTTAAATCATCATCATTATTTGTCTTTCTGAAACCTCTTATTGTCCTTTCTCATCACTACTTCTTACTAAAGTCTACTCATTCACTTTCACTTCCACTAACCCCTTGTGTCTTACTGGTATTATCGCCTTGCTTGGGGTGAAATGATTAAAAAAAAGTTTAATAAACTGAAAAAAAATAATCGTTTCGTGGAGAAAATATCCAGGTACCAGGACGTCATTAATCTTTGGCACGATAGAAGTTGAGTTAATTTATGCAGAAATGTTATATAAGAATAAAGTGTCACTGCTGACATTGGATTTTGAACATGGATCGTCAGTGAGCAAACATGGCGATTCCATTTTGAATAAGTAGATCACGTGATAGTAAAATAAATGTATATACGGGAATTAGCGTGACGTCTAATTGATCACCCTTTCTATTCTATCCTCTATTACTATTCGGATCACCATTTATATTCTATCCTCTATTACTATTACTGGTCGCGATTCTCTTCTCTATACGGACCACTATTTGGTGGTTACTATTCGAGCGAGTATTATTGAGCAAGTACTATTAGTGTGAATGTTATTCAAAGACGTCTGACACCAGTACTGTTCAACAGCGTTATTATAGTTGTATTGGCGTTAACGAAGTCTCTATTACAAGGAGCATTCGTTGACATCACAAAAGTAAATAAAAAAATTATCCGCAATTTCGCTATAACAAAGCTTTAGGTTTGTCACACTGTCTTCTGTTCATGTGTGCTTATAGTTGGTACTTTTGTGGTCACATGATCAAAGTTTGAGCTTGATCACGCAAACTTTCTGGGTCGTTGTTACAGTGTAAACATGGCCGCTCCACTAGCAGTGTGCACCAAGGGGGAACAAAGAGCAGTAATTCGATTTCTCTGGTCGGAAGGTGAGTCAGGGGCTGAAATTCCTCGAAGGCTTTTAACATAATACGGCGATAGTGCACTGCCGCGTAGAAGTAAATGTATATGAGTGGATCGGGAAGTTTAAAAGTGGCCGGACAAGCGTGACGAACGAAGGAGGAGCCGGACGCTCGTCAACCTTCACCAATGGCGAGAAGATTCAGCAAGCTCGAGAGATGGTAATGTCGAACAAGCAAGTTATCATCGATGAGGTAGCATGTTCTCAGCAGATTCAGATCACACTGCTCTTTTCTGTTCTTCCACAGTGCACACTGCCAGTGGAGCGGCCATGTTTACACTGTAACAGCAGGAAGAAAACTGGCGCAATCAAACTCAAAATTTGATCACGTGACCAAAATAGTACCAATTATAAACACACATAGGCAGAAGGCAGTGTGAAAAGCCTAAAGATATGCTATGGTGAAAGTGCGGATTATTTTTTACTTCGTATTTTAATTCAATGCTAGGATTAGGACGGAAGTGGTATCGCCTCAAATCCTATAGGCATGGGAATGGTAACGAGGGTGGTGAAGAAAAAAGGAATGATAGAAAACGGTAGTGTAGCGTCAGATCCAACGAATTTTTTTTCTATAAAAATAATTTACGATTTCATCTAGCAATTTTCATTGTAAAATAAGACATAGCTGCCAATCTAGTAATGCGCTTATATTCGTAAAGTCAAGATACCGAAGTAGAAAGCTCATCAGAACAATTACTAAGAAAATATTTATAGAAAAGACACAGGGGAAACTACGTTACGGTGGAAGGAAAGTGACTTGCAAGTGGCATCTCGAATTCACTCACTTGCCAACTACCGTAATGTGGCTTCCCTGTGTCTTTTCTATAAATATTTTCTTGGTAACTGTTCTAATGAGCTTTGGTACCTGGAACGCATGAATTTAAGCTAGCTACTAGATTGGCAATTAGGTCTCATCGTTTTAGTGTTGAAATAGATGTAACCGTAAGTTCTATTCTAACAGAATTCTGAAAACGGAAGACAGAAGATGGCGATTGACGCTGTTCTTTTATTGTCCTTTCTCATCATTAATGTTTTCTGATTTTCTTTTACTCACTTATACTTTCACTTTATATAAATATGTGTGTGTGTATATATATATATATGTGTGTGTGTGTGTATATATATATATATACATATATATATATATATATATATATATATATATATATATATATATATATATATATATATATATATATACATATATATACATATACATATATATATATCATATATATATATATATATATATATATTATATATATATATATTTATATATATATACATATATTTATATATATATACATATATATATATATAATATATATATATACATATATATATATATATATATATATACATATATATATATACATATATATATATATATATATATATATATATATATATATATATATATATATATATATATATATATATACATATATATTACATATATATATATATATATATATATATATATATATATATATATATATATATATATAAATATATATATATAAACACTACTTCTACATCGGGTGTGAGAGACTGGAGAGGAGAAGGTACATCATTGACGACATCACTGTGAGTGTGAAAAGGAAAATTCAGTCTCTACCAACGAATGATGTCATGTTTTGATTTTTTACTAAAATGTTACAATACATACAGATACAGTATTTGTATAAAATCAAAACATGGATTCTGATTACACTTAAATGTAATGAAAACTAAAAAAAAGTCAGTATGTTATTTGTAACACTGCAACGCAATAATCATGCAACGGGTAGCCATGTTGTTTTTTGAAATTTTCCATTTGTGGGATGTTATGTCAGCACATGAAAAAAATTCGGATTTTGGAATTTGGGATAAAGGATACTCAGCCTGTGTATATAATTTATAATAATGTAATAATATTATTTATGATAATATCGTATAAACGAGGATCCTGATCTTCCGTATATGTGTTTCCGCGTGGCACTTAACCGTAGTACCACATTCCTCTTTGCCCTGTATAGTCCTCGGGGCGAGATCAACCCAGGTTATTTATGCGTGCATCTCCAATGGGTGTCTGTTTCACTGCCTACTAGTCATCTACCAAATCAAAAACAAACATAAAAGCAATCAAAAGAATACGAACAAAGCTTGTAAACCCTACTTCTAAAAAACAGCAGACCTCAGTTAAACCATCTGTTAAACTAATGTATGGGTCTACGTTCCAACTTTCCAGATGTAGAACTACATCTTGAATCTCAACCTGGCCTCCTGTCCGTGTCGGAAATTGGTATTTTTAAAGACATTTTAATAAAGAGAATTATGTTGTGTTGACAGATTTGTTAATATGAACGACTTTGTAGATTTTACTGATACTGAAGGAAATCATTCCATTCAATTTAAATTCGTTTTGAAATACAGTAAATTGTTTTGCTTATTGGAAATATTAAATTTAATCTATTAATTTGGAATGAAACTTAAAATTTAAAACAAGCTTCAAGAAAGTTATTTTCGAGTACTTCATGTATATATTAGATATATACCGGGTGTAACAGCAAAATTGTCCAAATAGTGTAACACCATAGGATAATTGTCCATCCCACAAAATGTTTAGTATCTAAAAAAAGAAGAAAAAAAAACACTTTTGAGTTTCTTTTTTCCCAGTTTTCATATAAAACGTTTAGCCATTTTGACATTATTTATTGTAAGAATCACTAACCATTTGAGTTATTTAGCTAGAAAGAAAACAGGTTAAAATCGTTTTGTGTCAGCCCCATTATATCTTTCCAAATTAGCAATGGTGAGAAGAAAAATATCATTAAGGCCTTCAGTAATGGTAGCAACATTCATACTCTGGCTTCCATTTTCAAAGTTCATTGAAGAACCATCAAGAGAAGAGTGAATAATTTTAATAAAAGAGGAAACAGTAAAGAGGAAAACAGGATCAGGACGTCCCAACATTATCATTTCAACTTAAAGCTAAATACATTCTTATTGTTCAAAGTAGAGTCCAGTAGTATTATAAAACCTCAGAGAGTTCCAGTAAGATATTTTTTAATCTTTTTACGGATCAAAGCTTAATCTAACAATTGAACAATTTATTTGCTAAACGATTTTAGATAATTTTGCTTTTACACCCGGTATATATATATTTTCAAACCAGGCAATGGATGATAAATTATTGAAAAAAATTTTTTTTTTTCAATAATTTATAATCCATTGACTAGTTTGAAATAAAATTTTAATGATTTTTCAATTTCCAAGGTGAAAATGATCATTAGCCCAATGTAATCTTAATTTCTATTGTATGAAATATGTTGCTCTGTTTAATTAAAACATTGAGCTCTATATGTGCATCCGTTTTAATATTTAATATTGTATTAATAGGATTCACTTAGATTATATAAGTATACCAACGGATTATTACCTATATATATATGTTTGTGTGTGTGTGTGTCAAATATTTTGAGATTGTCATATGCGTGAACTGTTCTGCTATCAAGCTGATAAGCCACTACAAATATCAAAGTCTTACATTTTTCAATTCTTGATTGGATAAAAAAAAATAGGTCATTTTCTTTTGTTTTTTCTGATTAATCGTTTCTTAAGTAGAGCATCTTTCGCGTGTCAATACAAGAACCAAGGGGGCTAATTTGGCTGTGGGATTAAAAAAAAGGTGGAGATGGGGTTCCTACTGTAAAGAGTTACTTACAATTTTAATTTTGAAAAATTCGTTCTGTGGCCCGAAAAACTACTTCACTTGTTGAGTTGGTGAAAGGAAGGGGGAA